ATCACTCAGAATCCGGTGTTGCATTCAAGGACCAAGCACATTGAAATCAGACATCACTTTATCAGAGATCATGTGGAGAAGAAGCACATTTCAATTGAGCATGTTCCAACTGAAGATCAGCTTGCAGATATCCTAACCAAACCTCTCTCTGAGGCAAGGTTTAACAAGCTGAGAGAAGAACTAGGGATGATGGATGATCTTCCCAGAGTTGCGTAAATCAGAGTTGCACAAGATCAGAGATCCACCCATCAGAGTACCCCTCCTCTGATACCAGGACTCATATCAGATCACCGTATCAGAAGACCTCGTATCAAGATACCCCTCATCTGATACCTGGAACATCTTTGCATCAGAATGGCTGTGGACTTAGAAAATTTTCTCAAATATGGGCGAGCACATTTAAATAAACCGGAAGTTACCAGTTTACCCCCGGTAGTTATTTCCATAAGTGGAAACGGCTTTCCGCCCACAATTCGTTAAATGCGACCTCGAAACCCCAAATTATATCAAACGTCCACTAACCCAAATCAATTTATACTCCATCTCATAACCTAAACCGCCATTGCACCATTATCTCTCTTCGAATTCAAGCCTTCAGAACTCTCAAACCTTCAGACTCTTTCAAATCTCTTCAATAACCTGAAAATGAAGTTCATCAATTTCACAGATCTTTCTGAGGCCGATGCTAAAGCTCTGGTAGCTAACATAGTTACATGGATGAAGGTGGACATGTCCTCGCTGCCATTGCTGGCCGGAGAACAAGAAAATCATGAAACAGGTCATCGATGGGATGCATGACTCACAGCTAAGCAAAATAGTGGCTCATCCATATGAGCATTTCAGCAACTTAGATGTGGCTGAGTTCTATCTCAACGCCTACATCGCTGACAACGCCATTCACTCCCAAGTTCAGGGCAAGAACTTGAAGATCGATGCGGATGCTCTCAATGAATTCTTCAACATCCAACTTGATTCTCAGGACATAGACACTCCCACTCTGATCGACCTTGAAAGTGTGGAGGTTACTGTCGAGACATTTGTGGCCACCTACTGCCGGGAGGATGTAACCGGAGTAGACAAGCTGTACATGAAGAAGAACGTCCTGAAAAAGGACTTTGAAAGGCTGATGAGCATCATGCACAGATGCTTATGGTGCAAAACTGGGTCAACTGACCAGATGAACAATGCCAACTCCAAGGCCGTCTATGCTGTTCACAGGGGAATGAACATCAACTGGGGAAAGGTACTGTTCCAGTCCCTCTCTGAGTCTGTTGCTAAGAAAGACAAGAAGACTTGTAACGCCCCAAAAACCGGTCTAGTTGTTTAATACATAAACTTTCAATTTACTACTACGTACTCCATATTTATTAAGCCGCTCCTATTAATACAATTTAATTAGCAGTGGACAACAAAAATTAATGATAAAATAGTATATCAATAAATGATATGAAATTTATAAAATACATTTTATAATACTTTTTAGTAAATCTTTAAAGCCATTAAATTATAGTTATAAGGCCATGAGAAAGAGTTTCACGTGAGGGCGTTGGGACCTAGAGTAGTGATTACACTCTTTCAATATTGAAAACTAAGATGTTAGCTGAAATTTTATCCTAGCAGCCCAAGTATTTACATATGTATCCGGTACTGGTCATGTAAATTTTGCTAAAGTCAAACTAAATTGATACTCTAAACTGCAGCCACGTACAACCTAGCTTATTCACTATCATTGAGACACATGGTTTAATGGGACAAAACTTGGCTGAACATTATGTCTCATACGAATAGGAAAATTTTAAATTATTAGAAATACACATTTTGTTGATTGGTCTAAATGAAGGTGAAATAAGAATATTTTTAGATTTAAATACTTCTTACGTAATTGATTGGCCAAATTGGAGGTGGAGTTTGGGTACTAGTTCGACTTTAAATAAGGCCTAACTCCTCGGTCTCTTTCCGAATTGAATATACTAGTTATATGTCCGGCCACTAAATAAAGTATGAAACCCACCTCATAAGCTAGCACTAAGGAGATGAAGGTAGAGCCGTACAAGAAGCTAGGACAGGGCCGGGAGATGAAGGTAGCCGTGTAAGAGGGACTCTCATACCAACACAATTTTAGGGGAATTTGTTTATAAGGTCAGTACGTTTCCGTCCCGACCATTTAGATTATTGTGTTTATCTCCGTCCCCGTCTCCCGTTGTGTTATGGGGGTGATGAACGTTATATAGCCTTTAAAATTTTGTATGCTCTAAATATGTGTTCTTGATTTATGAGAATTTTGAGTAGTAGACACATAAATCTGTCATAGTTGATAGTAATTACATTTGTTGTAATCCATACGAATGCCAGCTAGAAATAAAGCTTAGCTCCGTATTATTAACAAGTAAAATCGTTAAAATTAACACGGTAAGGTTAATAGAATATAAGTATATCACGGTGATGTATTTTGCATGAAAGTGTATACTTTGATTAGGATAGATAGATATGTGCTATTATAATTAACATGCATGCATTAACGTATTTATGGAAAATATGCATGGAACAATGTTAGCTAGAGTAGAGAAATTCTAAACTGCAAATCTAACGATATTTTCAGGAACATGATTTGCATACCTACGAGCCAATTATTTACATGAATCATGACTAGCTGTGTGAATTATATGGCAAGGTCTTTTAAAAACATGCACCCATTTCACGTTAAAATAACACATTTGGCCTCATCATTGAAGTAAAATAACAATATTTATATCCAACTCCATAGATCACTTACGGTGAGTATATGTGCAGAATTGAAGTATACCAACTTTAGATCTTAATATATATAATAAATAACATGCATGCATAATAGACATGTTCATATAATTATATACATAGATTGCGTATTATATATATACGTAGTATATAATTTGCATGGATGTTCTAACTAAATGTTTAAGTTACTATTTAAGTTGCACGTATTAAATTAAGTATAATAATATGTATATACATATGTGGCATGCATGTATGCATCAACTTAATTAGTGGCCTATCTGTGTATCTACGTGTATAGATATAAGGAGTACTTATCACTTTCAAATGGATAAGTGATTAGAGTCCGTAGCATGGAAAATAGGAATAATCATATACGTGGGACCTGGATGACTGGTTACATAAATATATTACGTAGTATATATATGTAATATGTATGCAGTCAAATAGCCATATGTTGACGATTTAAAAGGGTGGGCCAGAATGTACACTTTAGTTAAAAATAAAAATAAAGTATTAAGATAATTGAATTTGGTAGTTTAAGTAATTGTTCTTTTATATATAAATCGGCCAGATAACATATAAATTGGAAATATGTTTTCTAATTGTTATTTTTAGTGTATATTCAACAAGTCACTTTTGTTAGATAAATCTTATATTTGAAAATCATTTTTGTAATTTAAAATAAAAGATGAGTATTATTATGGAAAAAGCCTTGCTCTTGACTCGGTACTCTGACTAGGATACTCCTGATCTGTTTAGTGTACTATGTACACTCCTGAAATTCTGTTTAGAGGAATTAGTGCTCTCCTGTTTAGTGTACTACGTACGCTCCTGTTCTGTTTAGTGTACTTCGTACACTCCTGAAATATTTTTAGAGCACTATTACTCTCCTGTTAAGGTTCGGGTCTCTTCGGTGATTCCGTCCTTTCTGTTCAGCTAGCTTCTGTCAGGGATTGGTACGTGTAGCTCCGGCGATTACGTTTCCATATTCCTTCTGGGTAATGTGGGTACGGACTTCGATCGACCGTACTCCTTACCATTAGTATTCCTCGGTCTAGGTCCAGATTCTAGAGTTCAAGGCTAAATGAATATGTATCTTTCAATGATAAATTTCAAAATAAGAATTATCTGATCATTATGGTTCAAAATGTGATCCCGATTAATAACGGAGATGCACGAGAGTCCATTACGATCGAGAAGCTTAAGAAGAATGGCGCCTCCATTTTCTTTGGGAAAAGGGGAGATACTCCAGAAATTGCTGAATTTTGGCTTGAGCAAACTGCTCGAGTCTTAGAAGACTTACAGGTGCCGATAGCCGATCGCCCGCGCCATGCTATTAGTTTGCTGCAACATGGAGCCTACGATTGGTGGAAATCTGTACTTCTCCGACCTGATCTACCGAGGCCCGTGACGTGGGACTACTTCCAAGCACGTTTCATAGATCAGTTTGTCCCGGCCTGGTACCAAGAAGAACGAAAGCGGCAGTTTATGGATTTGACACAAGGATCCATGACAGTGGCGGAGTATGCATATGAGTTCCTTCGCCTGAGCAAGTACGCTCGGGATATGGTAAGAGTGGAAGCTGACAAGTGCCGAAAATTTGAGTATGGGCTTAATGAGGAAATCGCTGGGCAGGTGGTCTGTGACACCGCACCCGAACGTCCTTGAAAATTCGATTTAAAAATTCAAAAGTGATGTATTGAATTTCCGATTTCAAAGCAATGGGAGAAACGATTAATATTTTACGAAGTACGCGATTGAATATTGTATTGTTCAAACCCGTATTCTTTTATAATTTTCATCATGTAAATTATTGGGATGATCCTACACATATTGGAGATCAATAATGTGATTTAGGAAGTTGACTTGTTCTAAATAAATTAGGATGAGTGCAAAAAGACATCTTTTGACAAAGATAAAACAATAGGACCCATTTCCCCCATTTTTGGAAGTATTGGTAGATAATTTGGACCCCAAATTAATTGGGATCAATTGGGAACCACTCCACATGATTATAGTACCTGCAAAACAAGAAAAATAAGTGAGGAGACTTACCTTGGCCGCACAAGCTGGAGGAGGGCTGCACAAGACTTGATTGGAATCAACCTTGAGACCCACCTTGTCTATTTCCGCACAAATCATGGGTGTGTTTTGTCTCCCTTCATTTTGAGAGTTGTACTCGTCCAAATGGGGTGTATAAGGTGTCTTTGGATAGCTTTTGAAGTCTATTTTCATATTTGAGTGGCCACAGTTCGAGAGGAGAGAGCAATCATCCAAAAATCGATCTGGAACGAGCAGAGGTCTGTGAACTCGAGCTGTGAGAGTGCTGAGACTGTTTGGTCGATATCTCGAGTTTTACAAATCCAATTAAGGCGTGTGAGATACCCACAGAAAGCTCTCAAGACGAGGAATCCGTGAAGGTCTGGTTTGCAGGAATCGGAGTTGTGGAAGACTTCCAAATCGTCCGAGAAAAACGCAACCTCGCAGGAGAGGATCTAATCCTCTAAAGTGAGTTTTAAACCCCAAAGCTTTACTTTTCATTCTCCAAATGATATGAACGATTGGTGAGACTATTATACACTAATCCAAGTGTATAATATGTCCTTATAAAGTTATTTTATTGATGTAAAGGTTAGATACTAACCTAGATGCAAATATTGGAAAACTAGGAATCGAGTTAGCCGGAAAACACCCGTTCTAGGGGCTGTTTTCGTATCAACGATTAAGGGTTGAACTAGCACTTGAGGAGGCTGTTTAACACTCATATTTGAGCAAGGAATCAGTTCCAAATCCACCTTGACCAAAGCTTTGACCATTGGACCAAGAAGGGAAAGTTTAAAGCTCAATTGAGGTGAGGATTGACATCTAATTGCTTACAACTTGTAGGTTAAGCATGAGATTACCTAAATGCTTAAATCATGATTTTTCATGGATTATGATGATTATATATTGATGAAATACTGATATAGTTGCCAAGGAATGAAAGTTGAAATGATTTGAGAAGGTATGAATAATATGAGATTAAATGAGTATAAATGAACTATTTGCGAAAATGGGCATTTTGCTCATGTATGAATTATGTGGATACACAAATAAATATTTGTGTATTGAGATTGAATACTTAAGTTGCTGCTACATAATTATAAATATGTAGAGAAGTACAAATAATGAGGATAACGGTATGATAACAATAATCTTAATAGTATTGAAATACTAGTTAGTGATTATTGGAACTTGTTGATTAAATTGATCCTAGGGATTGGATTGTATGAAAGGTACTTGAATATAGTTCAAGTGTATATAATAACTTAGTTTGGAACTAAGGTTAAGTTATGGGAAGTCTTTAAGGATGACCCAAAGTAGTTAATGATATGTCAATTCTAGGCATAGGGTTGCTTGAGAATTGGACCTTAATGCATGGTGATGTAATAGAGCCGAGCTCTAGAATGCATGTAAGGTGTAGACTTGGAGTCTATGTATTGTATAGCTAGAGCCGAGCTCTAGGACTTGCGTGGTGATGTAATAGAGCCGAGCTCTAGAACGCAAGGTAAGGAAATTGACCCGAGGTATATGAATTGTATGGTGATGTAGTAGAGCCGAGCTCTAGAATACAATGTCATGTACTAGGGTTGGACTCTAGGAGTTGTCGTGGCTTATAGCCACGGGGTTGGGAATGGTGATTTCCAAATGAAAATGGGCCCACGGGCCGACTACTTGACTTTTATATAAAGTAAGTATATTTTTAAACGGGGTAACTTAGGGTTACAATCATAATGTACTATCACCCTATTTGAGGGTCTTGTGTTTGAAATACTTGTTGTATATCTATTAGATGCCTGCCACACCAGTACTTTATAGCCGTATAGAGTACTGACCCCTTCGGGGGCGTCCCACCACCATTTCAGGTTGAGGCTAGAGCTTGCATCCTGTGCTCGTTGATCGAGTGATTCCTCGGAGAGAAGACTTGGTTCGTGCTTCCTCCATTCTATTTGAAACATTAATAAATTTGCTCATGGATATTTTATTATAGAGCCTGCGTGCTCGTGAATAGCCCGGTGTGGCTCTTTCGTTTTAAACAATGTTTTCCGCTGCTTTATGAATTACTTATTATGTTGTTTATGGATGACTTATGTGTGAATGATATTCATGACGCCTTGTATAATATGAATGTGTTGGATTGCGATTGACTATTCGTATTGTACGGCGGGTTGTTGACGTGTCCGGGGAGGTCCGGGGCGTGACAATTAAGTTGGTATCAGAGCCTTAGTCCATAAACTTCATAATGAAGTCTCAAAATTCTCTTTTTGAAAAGATTTTGAAAACCATGAGCATAGAAGTTTTGTACTTGGAGAACTTTTGGTACTTGGGTTGCAAGGTCTCTAATTGTTAAGATGGTACCCTTAGCAATTGGTATGGCGGTGACTCGAGCCAAAATGTGTCTTAAGTACCTATCCGTCAATTGACATTTGATACGAGTCTAACGACTCCTTCCAAATTTCTTTCAGAAATGGACCGTGGTGGCAGGATTACTAGGAGAAACCCGACTGGCCGTGTACCAGTGGAGACTGGACAGGGCAGTCGAAGGACCTCTAGGGCATCTAGAGGAGCTGGCCGTGGAGGCCGATCACAGACCGTGAGTGACGGTCATGTCGACACGGAAAGTGAGACCTACTGGTCCTATGAGGACTCGACTTACCAACCGGAGACAGAGCCGGTTGACACCCCTTATGAAGGGGATGATGACGATGTAAGTGATGAGGAGGGAAATGGCTCCTTAGCACGGATCGAAGCACTACTCCAACAATACCACCGGGAGCGTGAAGAGAGGAGGCAACGCCGAAGACGCCGAGTGGGGCAACCTTCGGGCATGGCTTCAAGAGGAGGGAGTCATGGTGCATCTAGAGTCCATGTGGAACCACATGGAGGCCAAAGTGATGGAGGTCCAACCATAAGGATCTCCAAATTTATCAAAGAAGCAAGAGATTTGGGGTGCAAACCCTTTGATGGAGCAGGGGACATTTCAGTCGCAGCACAATGGATCAAGAGGCTAAATGAAGCAGCCCTTGACATGCAAATCGCGCCGAATCTCAAACTGAGAATTGCGGTAAGATTGCTCGAGGGGATGGCATCCAAGTGGTGGGATGGAACCAAGAGCAAGTACGGTGAGACCGTCGTTTGGGAGGACTTCCAACGGGAGTTCTTTGCCCAATATTATTCTGATTTTGAAGTGAACAAGAAGGTGAGGGAATACACCCTCCTAACCCAAGGGGGTAACATGACAGTGAAGGAACTTGAGTACAAGTTCCGGGATCTCGCCGACTACATACCGGAGTATGCTTGTGACGAGAACCGAATGGTAAACCACTTTTGGGATGCTCTGGACTTGGAGATACGTGATAGGGCAACACAATTGCCTAATATGACCTTCGCCCAAGTGGTTGACCAAGCGTTGAAGGGGGAGAAACAGTGGGAGGAGAGGAAGAAGAGAGACGCCGAGGAGGCGAAAAAGAGAAAATGGGAGAGTCATGGCTCCCAAGGTTCCAACAAAAAGGGGAACCATGGAGGAGGATCTTTCCGGGCACCGCCGCCACCGTCTAGGGGGAACCAAGGCCCGAGTGGGCAAGGCGCGAGGTCACAAACCTCAGTGGTAGCTCGTTGCAACAATTGCAAGAAGAACCACTCCGGTAAATGTCGCGACCCCCCTAGATGTTTTCAATGCGGGGATGCCGGGCATTTGAAGGCACATTGTCCACAATTGAGTGGGGCAAGGACATCGGGACCGAGCAGTGGCCCGACGGGTACACGGAATCAAACCGGAGCTTCTCAAGCGAGCCGGGGACATGGGGGAGCGAGTGCGAGCAACGCGCCATCCGTGAATCAAGGAAGAACTCAAGCTAGAGTTTATGCGATGACGGAGGCGGATGCTCGAGCTAACCCGGACTCGGTTGCAGGTATTGCCTCTTGCACAATTGTATTTTGTCCATAGTTAATCCATAAATTGATGACATAAGTCATAGGGATTGAGTGCGAGCCATTACGGGGTCAAACGGCGAAATTCGGGCCAGAACTGACCAAAAACAGGGACGCACGATCGTGCGTCCAACCCCACGCACGATCGTGCGTAGGGGGCAGTGGTTCCGGGTGATGTTCGCGCAGGACGCACGACCGTGCGTGCCGGTACGCACGCCGTGCGTGGACGCACGATCGTGCGTGTCCGGGTACGCACGACCGTGCGTAACCGGCAGTAGCCGGAAGCGAATTTTCCATGCACGCACGACCGTGCGTGTCCCACGCACGACCGTGCGTGGACCCCAGCCGCCCGAAACCTAAGTTTTTCCTCTCGTTCTTCTACGATTGGACCCCCGTTTGATTCCGAACATCTATATGAACCTATTAACCTCCAAAAAGTGTCCTAAACCATTAGAAAAGGTATCTTACATGGTGTATAAATGTAGGAACATTAAAGATTAACGGGAAGGATGCACGAATCCTTATCGATACCGGAGCGCAACGTTCATTCGTGAGTGAGGCGTTTGCCGAGAGCTTAGAGATGCAATCAATACCAATGACACAAGCCTTAGTGGTATCAACCCCACTAGGGGAAGACGTTGAAAGAAACAATTACTATCCATCTTGTATGGTGGAAATCGGTGGCCAAACCTTGACGTGTGATTTCGTACCGCTGAGTATGATGGAGTTCGATGCAATCCTAGGGATGGATTGGCTAGAAAAGCATCATGCTAGGGTAGATTGCTACACAAAGGTGTTGGAACTCGAAGGCACACAGGGGGACACCCTACGCTTCGAGGGGGACCGCGGCAAATCAAATAGTTGTATCATATCCGCCGTGAGAGCGAGAAATATGATGAGGAAGGGATGCCACGCATATCTAGCATACGTGGTTGACAAAACCAAAGAGGAAACGAACGTCGATGATGTGAGGGTGGTTTGTAAGTATCCGGATGTCTTCCCTAAAGACCTACCGGGGCTTCCACCTGACAGAGAGATTGAATTTGTGATCGAGGTCGAGCCTGGTACCAAACCAATCTCCATACCGCCATACCGGATGGCACCCGCTGAACTTAACGAGTTGAAAACCCAATTGCAAGAGCTTTTGGATAACGGTTTCATTAGACCAAGCCACTCCCCGTGGGGAGCACCGGTTCTTTTTGTGAAAAAGAAAGATGGGACACTTCGAATGTGCATTGACTATCGTCAACTGAACAAGGTCACAATCAAGAATAGGTATCCGTTGCCTAGGATTGATGACTTGTTTGATCAACTACGAGGAGCAACCGTGTTTTCGAAGATTGACTTGAGGTCGGGGTACCATCAATTGAAGATTAAGGAAGATGACATACCAAAGAGTGCTTTCCGCACAAGGTATGGGCATTTTGAGTTCCTTGTTATGTCGTTTGGGTTAACAAACGCCCCGGCGGCATTCATGGACTTGATGAACCGAGTATTCCATAAATACTTGGATCGATTCGTGATTGTGTTCATAGATGACATCTTGATTTACTCAAAGAGTGAAGAAGAGCATGAGGAGCACTTGATACTTGTTCTTGAAACACTACGGGAGAAGCAACTCTATGCCAAATTTTCTAAATGTGAATTTTGGCTAAAGGAGATTGGCTTCCTCGGGCACGTGGTTTCGGGATCAGGGGTTGCTGTTGATAACAAGAAGATAGAAGCCATTACTGAATGGGAGAGGCCAAAGAACGTCAAGGAAATTCGTAGTTTCCTTGGATTGGCAGGCTACTATAGAAAGTTCGTGGAGAAGTTCTCTGTTTTGGCATCGCCATTGACGAAGCTCACTCGTAAAGGGGCTAAGTTTGTATGGGATGACAAATGTGAGAAAGGGTTCATGGAACTAAAGAAGAGATTGACCGAGGCACCGGTACTTGCATTACCCAAACAAGGTGTGGGGTACGATGTCTATAGCGATGCGAGCATCCAAGGGCTCGGATGTGTACTGATGCAGAATGGGAGGGTAATCGCCTATGCTTCACGACAATTGAAGAAGCATGAGGTGAATTATCCTACTCATGATTTGGAGCTCGGGGCAGTGGTATTTGCACTGAAGATATGGAGACATTATCTCTACGGGGAGACATGTCACATATACACCGATCACAAGAGCTTGAAGTACGTGTTTACTCAGAAAGAGCTAAACATGAGACAGAGACGGTGGATGGAGCTGATAAAAGACTACCATCTAGTGATAGAGTATCACCCAGGCAAGGCAAACGTGGTGGCAGATGCTTTGAGCCGGAAGAGCTCGTCTGGGGCATTGATAACTAATTTGAGGGCATTAAGAGCCCAACTGGAGGTAACCAGCGATGGTGCCTTATTGGCACGATTTGAGGTAAGACCCACTTTACTTGATGAGATCAAGAAGGGTCAGGAAGCCGACGAAGAACTTATGAAGGTCCGGGAACGCATGCAAGCGGGGCCGGTGGAGGATTTCAGGGAAAGAGATGATGGTCTCTTGTTATTTCGTGACCGAGTGTGTGTACCGTCAGATGATGAGCTCCGAAAGTCCATCTTAGAGGAGGCTCATTCATCGGCTTATGCCATGCACCCGGGGGGCACGAAAATGTACCGTGATTTGAAGGAAAGTTACTGGTGGTCTGGAATGAAGAGGGAAATAGCCGAGTACATCAGTCGGTGCCTTACTTGTCAACAAGTTAAGGCAGAACATCAGCACCCAGCAGGCTTATTGCAACCACTCTCCATCCCTGAATGGAAGTGGGAGCACGTGACTATGGATTTCGTGGTAGGCTTACCACGGACTATCAGGAACTATGACGCGGTTTGGGTCGTTGTGGATAGGCTCACAAAGAGTGCACACTTCTTGCCTATCAACACTACCTATCCACTTGAGAGGTTAGCCAAATTGTATACGGATGAGATCGTGAGGCTGCATGGGGTCCCGGTGACCATTGTATCTGATAGAGACCCACGATTCACATCACGTTTTTGGCCGAAATTCCAGGAGTCTATGGGAACGAAGTTGAAGTTCAGCACTGCTTTCCATCCACAGACGGATGGGCAGTCTGAAAGGGTTATACAGATCCTAGAAGACATGCTGAGGGCTTGTGCATTGGAGTTCCAGGGGAGTTGGGACAACCACTTAGCACTTGTGGAGTTTGCCTATAACAACAGTTATCAGGCAAGCATCGGCATGCCTCCATACGAGGCATTGTATGGGAGGAGGTGCCGTACACCGTTATGCTGGGACGAGGTTGGCATGGCCAAACTCGAGGGTACTGAGTTGGTGGAGGTCACCAAATCAAAGGTGAAGTTAATTCGAGAGAGACTCAAGGCGGCTCAGGATAGACAAAAGAGTTATGCAGATAAGCGTCGAAGAACCTTAGAGTTTAAGGTTGATGACGAGGTATTCTTGAAAGTTTCTCCTTGGAAAGGGATCATTCGGTTCCAAACCCGAGGAAAACTTAACCCACGATATATAGGTCCATTCAGAATTATAGAGAGGATTGGGGCCGTTGCATATCGTCTACAATTGACTCCTGAGTTAGAGAAGATACATAATGTGTTTCATGTATCCATGCTTAAGAAGTACGTGCATGATCCCTCTCACGTATTGGAGAAGCCACCTGTAGAGGTACGTGAGGATTTGAACTACGCTGTTCAACCTATCAAAGTCACCGATAGAAAGGTGAAGAAGCTGAGGAGCAAAGAAGTCCCAATGGTTAAAGTCCTGTGGAAGAGCGATCGGGTCGAGGAAGAGACATGGGAAACGGAGGCTTTGATGAGGAAGCAGTATGCTTTCCTATTCGAGTAGAGCTGTGAATTTCGGGGACGAAATTCCTGTTAAGGGGGGGTGAACTTGTGACACCGCACCCGAACGTCCTTGAAAATTCGATTTAAAAATTCAAAAGTGATGTATTGAATTTCCGATTTCAAAGCAATGGGAGAAACGATTAATATTTTACGAAGTACGCGATTGAATATTGTATTGTTCAAACCCGTATTCTTTTATAATTTTCATCATGTAAATTATTGGGATGATCCTACACATATTGGAGATCAATAATGTGATTTAGGAAGTTGACTTGTTCTAAATAAATTAGGATGAGTGCAAAAAGACATCTTTTGACAAAGATAAAACAATAGGACCCATTTCCCCCATTTTTGGAAGTATTGGTAGATAATTTGGACCCCAAATTAATTGGGATCAATTGGGAACCACTCCACATGATTATAGTACCTGCAAAACAAGAAAAATAAGTGAGGAGACTTACCTTGGCCGCACAAGCTGGAGGAGGGCTGCACAAGACTTGATTGGAATCAACCTTGAGACCCACCTTGTCTATTTCCGCACAAATCATGGGTGTGTTTTGTCTCCCTTCATTTTGAGAGTTGTACTCGTCCAAATGGGGTGTATAAGGTGTCTTTGGATAGCTTTTGAAGTCTATTTTCATATTTGAGTGGCCACAGTTCGAGAGGAGAGAGCAATCATCCAAAAATCGATCTGGAACGAGCAGAGGTCTGTGAACTCGAGCTGTGAGAGTGCTGAGACTGTTTGGTCGATATCTCGAGTTTTACAAATCCAATTAAGGCGTGTGAGATACCCACAGAAAGCTCTCAAGACGAGGAATCCGTGAAGGTCTGGTTTGCAGGAATCGGAGTTGTGGAAGACTTCCAAATCGTCCGAGAAAAACGCAACCTCGCAGGAGAGGATCTAATCCTCTAAAGTGAGTTTTAAACCCCAAAGCTTTACTTTTCATTCTCCAAATGATATGAACGATTGGTGAGACTATTATACACTAATCCAAGTGTATAATATGTCCTTATAAAGTTATTTTATTGATGTAAAGGTTAGATACTAACCTAGATGCAAATATTGGAAAACTAGGAATCGAGTTAGCCGGAAAACACCCGTTCTAGGGGCTGTTTTCGTATCAACGATTAAGGGTTGAACTAGCACTTGAGGAGGCTGTTTAACACTCATATTTGAGCAAGGAATCAGTTCCAAATCCACCTTGACCAAAGCTTTGACCATTGGACCAAGAAGGGAAAGTTTAAAGCTCAATTGAGGTGAGGATTGACATCTAATTGCTTACAACTTGTAGGTTAAGCATGAGATTACCTAAATGCTTAAATCATGATTTTTCATGGATTATGATGATTATATATTGATGAAATACTGATATAGTTGCCAAGGAATGAAAGTTGAAATGATTTGAGAAGGTATGAATAATATGAGATTAAATGAGTATAAATGAACTATTTGCGAAAATGGGCATTTTGCTCATGTATGAATTATGTGGATACACAAATAAATATTTGTGTATTGAGATTGAATACTTAAGTTGCTGCTACATAATTATAAATATGTAGAGAAGTACAAATAATGAGGATAACGGTATGATAACAATAATCTTAATAGTATTGAAATACTAGTTAGTGATTATTGGAACTTGTTGATTAAATTGATCCTAGGGATTGGATTGTATGAAAGGTACTTGAATATAGTTCAAGTGTATATAATAACTTAGTTTGGAACTAAGGTTAAGTTATGGGAAGTCTTTAAGGATGACCCAAAGTAGTTAATGATATGTCAATTCTAGGCATAGGGTTGCTTGAGAATTGGACCTTAATGCATGGTGATGTAATAGAGCCGAGCTCTAGAATGCATGTAAGGTGTAGACTTGGAGTCTATGTATTGTATAGCTAGAGCCGAGCTCTAGGACTTGCGTGGTGATGTAATAGAGCCGAGCTCTAGAACGCAAGGTAAGGAAATTGACCCGAGGTATATGAATTGTATGGTGATGTAGTAGAGCCGAGCTCTAGAATACAATGTCATGTACTAGGGTTGGACTCTAGGAGTTGTCGTGGCTTATAGCCACGGGGTTGGGAATGGTGATTTCCAAATGAAAATGGGCCCACGGGCCGACTACTTGACTTTTATATAAAGTAAGTATATTTTTAAACGGGGTAACTTAGGGTTACAATCATAATGTACTATCACCCTATTTGAGGGTCTTGTGTTTGAAATACTTGTTGTATATCTATTAGATGCCTGCCACACCAGTACTTTATAGCCGTATAGAGTACTGACCCCTTCGGGGGCGTCCCACCACCATTTCAGGTTGAGGCTAGAGCTTGCATCCTGTGCTCGTTGATCGAGTGATTCCTCGGAGAGAAGACTTGGTTCGTGCTTCCTCCATTCTATTTGAAACATTAATAAATTTGCTCATGGATATTTTATTATAGAGCCTGCGTGCTCGTGAATAGCCCGGTGTGGCTCTTTCGTTTTAAACAATGTTTTCCGCTGCTTTATGAATTACTTATTATGTTGTTTATGGATGACTTATGTGTGAATGATATTCATGACGCCTTGTATAATATGAATGTGTTGGATTGCGATTGACTATTCGTATTGTACGGCGGGTTGTTGACGTGTCCGGGGAGGTCCGGGGCGTGACATGGTCAGCTTACGCCACGTTAGCTTTACGCAGCTTGTGGAGTCCGCTCAGAGTTTCGAAGGGTGGCGCAGAAGAAAGACCAGCAGGGGAACATTTTCTTACTCGGCACCGACGAAGAATCCGATGGGGAAGAAGCACGAAAGCGGAAGGAGTAAATCTCGTGCCACATCCATGTCAGCTAGCAACAAACCTCGCCCGCCAACTGCCCAAGTGAAAAATGTCCCGTTATGCTCCTTTTGCGGGAAACACCATATGGGGGAGTGTAGAAGAGCCTCCGGAGCTTGTTTCAGGTGTGGCCAGATGGGTCACGTGCTTAGAGAGTGTCCATCACTTATCACAGGTAATGCTTCATCGGTTCCAGCCCGCCCTATGCAGCCTCCACAGAGGAGGGGGCAAAATCATAATCAAGGAAATACCACCAACAACTCTGAAACTGTGAACCGGCCACAACAGGGTCGCCCCCAGGCAAGGACCTATGCGATGCAAGCTAGGGAGGAGCAACCAGAAAATGATGTCATCATTGGTATGTTTACTCTTTTTAATACCGATATGTGTGCTTTAATTGATCCTGGTTCTACACATTCTTATATATGTGTCCGCCCTGCGTGTTTACTTGAGTACCCGAGAGAGTCCTTAGACATCCAAATGGAGGTATCCACACCTCTAGGGCGAAGTATCATTGTCAATCAAGTATACCGATATTGCCCCTTGGAAGTTCAAGGAAAACAATTCAATGCGGATCTCATCGAGTTACCTTATCGAGAATTTGATATCATTCTTGGTATGGATTGGCTTTCTAAGCATAAAGCGGTGGTGAATTGCCAAGATAAAACATTGTTGCTTCAAACTCAGCAAGGTGACACTGTTCTTGTTCCTGGAGAATTATTTCCAAAGCCACCTCAACTCATTTCTATGATGCATGCTAAAAGGCTTATGCGCAAGAAATGTCAAGCATACCTAGCATATGTTCGAGATACGCAGAAGGAAGCTCCTGTATTAAATGACATCCCTATTGTACAAGATTTTCCAGATGTTTTTCCTGACGAGTTACCAGGTTTACCACCATCTCGAGAAGTGGAATTTAATATTGAACTAGTTCCTGGTACCACTCCCATTTCTGCAACTCCTTATCGAATGGCTCCTGCTGAAATGAAAGAATTAAAGGCACAACTTCAAGATCTCTTAGATAAGGGATTCATCCAACCTAGTGTGTCTCCATGGGGCGCACCAGTTCTATTTGTGAAGAAAAAGGATGGTTCCATGAGACTTTGCATCGATTATCGACAGCTGAACAAAGTTACGGTGAAAAACCGTTACCCATTGCCGAGGATCGATGATCTCTTTGACCAACTCAAGGGAGCTAAAGTGTTCTCAAAAATTGATCTCCGATCAGGATATCACCAGCTTCCCGTAAAGAAGGAAGATGTACCAAAAACTGCATTCAGAACAAGATACGGGCACTATGAGTTTTTGGTCATGCCTTTTGGTTTAACCAATGCTCCTGCTGCATTCATGGACCTAATGAACAGAGTATTCAAGCCTTTTCTAGATCAGTTTGTGGTTGTCTTTATTGACGACGTCTTGATCTATTCAAAGTCCGAGGAGGAGCACAAGGAGCATCTCAAGATTGTGCTAGAAACACTCCGAAAGCACAAACTCTATGCCAAGTTTTCAAAGTGTGAGTTTTGGCTTGATAAAGTAACCTTTCTGGGCCATGTCATTTCAGCGGATGGCATAAGAGTGGACCCCGCGAAAATACAAGCCATCACAAATTGGAAACCACCTCGAAATGTGACGGAGGTCCGAAGTTTTCTGGGATTAGCCGGTTACTATCGTCGCTTTGTTAAAGGTTTTTCCTTGATAGCTTCACCTCTCCATAAACTTTTGAAGAAGAATAAACGTTTTGAATGGACACCAGAGAGCCAAGAGAGTTTTGATAAACTAAAGAAGGTTCTTACTGAAGCTCCAGTCCTAGTCCAACCTGTTTCAGGTAAAGACTTCACTGTGTATAGTGATGCTTCTCTTAATGGCCTAGGATGTGTTCTTATGCAAGAAGGAAAGGTGGTTGCTTATGCCTCGAGACAACTCAAAGAGCATGAGAAGAACTACCCCACACACGATCTGGAGCTAGCAGCCATTGTCTTTGCTTTAAAGATATGGCGACATTACCTTTATGGGGAAAGATGTTATATCTTTACCGACCATAAAAGTCTGAAATATCTTCCGACCCAGAAAGAGCTAAATTTGAGGCAAAGGCGCTGGTTAGAGTTAATCAAGGATTACGATTGTGTGATCGATTATCACCCCGGGAAAGCTAATGTTGTAGCAGATGCTTTGAGCCGGAAAACTCTAGCTGAATTACATCTCAAACCCTCACTTCAAGAGGAAATCCTAGCTGCTCAAAAGTGTGATGATCAATGTCTTAAGATAGCGGAGTCCATTTCTAAGGGGGAGAGACCAGATTTCTCTAAACAAAGTAATGGTGGATTATGTTTCCGAGGCCGTTTAGTTGTTCCTAACAGGGAAATTAAACAAAGAATTCTTCGTGAGGCACATGAAACAAAATACTCAATGCACCCTGGCAGTAACAAAATGTTTAGAGATTTGAAGAATCTTTATTGGTGGTCTGGTATGAAACGTGATATCACTGAATATACTTCTAAGTGTCTCATTTGCCAACAGGTTAAAGCCGAACACCAACTTCCATCTGGATTGTTACAACCTATTACAATACCGGAATGGAAATGGGATCGCGTAACCATGGATTTTGTGATGGGATTACCATTGACACCAAAGAAGAATGACTCAGTCTGGGTAATTGTAGACCGACTTACCAAATCTGCTCATTTCATACCCATTCGAAAAGATTTCTCCTTAAATAGGTTGGCCGAACTGTATATTCAAGAAATAGTCCGACTACATGGGATACCCCTGTCCATCATATCTGATAGAGATCCAAGATTCACTTCTCAATTCTGGGGAAGCTTACAAAAGGCACTTGGTACAAAATTGAACTTTAGCACAGCCTTCCATCCACAGACAGATGGTCAATCTGAAAGAGTTATTCAAATTCTTGAGGATATGATGCGGGGTTGTGCAATTGAGTTCAAGGGAAGTTGGGAGAAATACTTACCTCTTATGGAGTTCGCATACAACAATAGCTACCAAGCTACCATTCAAATGGCACCATATGAAGCTTTGTATGGTCGGAAGTGTAGAACTCCAGTCTGTTGGACAGAGCTAAGTGAAAGAAAGATCGTTGGGCCCGATTTGATTCAAGAGACAGAGGAAAAGATCAAACTGATTCAAGAGCGACTCAAGATAGCATCGGATAGACAAAAATCATATGCCGATCTGAAGCGTCGTGATATTGAGTATGCTATTGGAGAAAAAGTTTTCCTAAAAGTGTCTCCTTGGAAAAAGGTTCTACGTTTTGGTAAAAAGGGAAAGCTGAGTCCAAGGTTTATTGGGCCTTACGAAATCACCGAACGTATCGGTCCAGTAGCCTACCGACTAGCACTACCACCGGAGTTGAGCCAAATCCATGATGTCTTTCATGTATCTATGTTAAGAAGATACAGATCAGATCCTTCACATGTGCTAACACCTGAGTCTGTCGAGGTCAATAAAGATTTGACATATGAAGAAGAACCAGTGCAGATACTCTCCCGAGACACAAAGGTGTTAAGGAACAAAAAGGTTCCCTTAGTGAAAGTCCTCTGGAGGAACCACACTACGGAGGAAGCAACTTGGGAAACCGAAGAAGCAATGCTCGCTCAATATCCGCACTTGTTTGACAACGTCGATTAAGGTAAATTTCGAGGACGAAATTCTCATAAGGGGGAGAGAAATGTAACGCCCCAAAAACCGGTCTAGTTGTTTAATACATAAACTTTCAATTTACTACTACGTACTCCATATTTATTAAGCCGCTCCTATTAATACAATTTAATTAGCAGTGGACAACAAAAATTAATGATAAAATAGTATATCAATAAATGATATGAAATTTATAAAATACATTTTATAATACTTTTTAGTAAATCTTTAAAGCCATTAAATTATAGTTATAAGGCCATGAGAAAGAGTTTCACGTGAGGGCGTTGGGACCTAGAGTAGTGATTACACTCTTTCAATATTGAAAACTAAGATGTTAGCTGAAATTTTATCCTAGCAGCCCAAGTATTTACATATGTATCCGGTACTGGTCATGTAAATTTTGCTAAAGTCAAACTAAATTGATACTCTAAACTGCAGCCACGTACAACCTAGCTTATTCACTATCATTGAGACACATGGTTTAATGGGACAAAACTTGGCTGAACATTATGTCTCATACGAATAGGAAAATTTTAAATTATTAGAAATACACATTTTGTTGATTGGTCTAAATGAAGGTGAAATAAGAATATTTTTAGATTTAAATACTTCTTACGTAATTGATTGGCCAAATTGGAGGTGGAGTTTGGGTACTAGTTCGACTTTAAATAAGGCCTAACTCCTCGGTCTCTTTCCGAATTGAATATACTAGTTATATGTCCGGCCACTAAATAAAGTATGAAACCCACCTCATAAGCTAGCACTAAGGAGATGAAGGTAGAGCCGTACAAGAAGCTAGGACAGGGCCGGGAGATGAAGGTAGCCGTGTAAGAGGGACTCTCATACCAACACAATTTTAGGGGAATTTGTTTATAAGGTCAGTACGTTTCCGTCCCGACCATTTAGATTATTGTGTTTATCTCCGTCCCCGTCTCCCGTTGTGTTATGGGGGTGATGAACGTTATATAGCCTTTAAAATTTTGTATGCTCTAAATATGTGTTCTTGATTTATGAGAATTTTGAGTAGTAGACACATAAATCTGTCATAGTTGATAG